ACATTAAGGGGAAGCTCATGCACCTATCTATACAGCATCCACGTTTCTATGTATGTCCCAGGCAGCAATCCTCAAGGGCTCTCCTTCTGTGTCACCATCAGAAACTCTCACAAACCACTGCCTTACGGAACGGAGATACTGAGGACTTAGGGAAGAGGCACAGGCTAAATAAGCCAGAAGCCACTTTTTATACAACAGACACCTGCACCAAATGGGAAGACTGCCTCACTGGACAGGCAGTCAGGAAAACATAGCAAGTCAGTTTAAGTGTGGACTACCACTGACATTTTGATAATGTATGCCTAGCAATATGCTTTTGTTTCCAAAGCAAACCAAATGGCAAACCTGGAAGTACAGAGGTTATCTTTTTTTTTTTAAGATTTGTTTATTTTTATTGGAAAGTCAGATTTATAGAGAAGGAGAGACAGAAAGAAAGACCTTTCATCTACTAGTTCACGTCCCAAGTGGCCACAACGGCCAGAGCTCAGCCAATCCAAAGCTAGGAGCCAGGAACTTCTTCCAGGACTCCCACATGGGTATAGGATCCTAAGGCTTTGCGCCATCCTCAACTGCTTGCCCAGGCCACAAGCAGGGAGCTGGATGGGAAGTGGAGCAGCTGGGACATGAACTGGTGCTCATTTGGGATCTGGCCATGTAAGGCAAGGACTTTAGTCACTAGGCTACCATGCCGGCCCCCAGATGCTATCTTGATTTTGGGCAAGATTGAAAACAATTAATATGGCTTATCCAGGAAGTCATCTTGCAACACTTGTCAGAATCAACACAATGCCAGATATCAAACTCTCTGAAAAGCTATTAGGGTGAGGAAGAGGCATGGAAATGTTTTAAAACAGCCAGAATGTCAGTGTCGATTTAACCCAACTGTTCCATTAGAGCCAGGTTCCTAGATGAAAAGGTGAAAACTGCATTACCTGAACAAGCTTTCCCATGAGAAGCTGAAAGGGAAAAGAACACAAACATAGAGCTAATCATTTTCAAATCTAATTGGAACATGTACAGACGCTTTACAACGTGATATTTACCAGTGCCACTTAGCCTCTTGCAGAAGAGTGGCCATTGCTGATACAGGCAAGCAGTTACCTGGCAAGAGCTGAAGTCTTCTGCCCCTCCTACAACTCCGCTTATTCCAGCCAACTCCCCTCCCATAAACACCATCACCTTTTTCATACTGTGCAAAACCACAGGTTCTACAAAACCTCCATGTGGAACTATCACTAGGAGAAAGGGTGCTGCATGGCTGCTCTTGCCCCCAGCTTCCATGATGACCAACAGCCTAACTGTAATATTACATCAAAGTTGCCATGACTGGCACTCCTACGCCCATAACACACCTGAAGTCATCATGCTTCCAACACTTCCAAAAAAGGACAAGGCAATGAGCAGTTCTCAATCCTTGCACCACTCTCCATGAATATTCAATTAAACCTTGCCCCAGACACCATCCATATGTGTTCTAGATCACATGAAGGAATGGCCCCAATGCTGCTGCGCACAGATCATCCTGGAATACTCCTCACACTCTCAAGTGTGTGCTTTCATTTAGCTAACAATAGATTATGTCCCTCTGCTAATCGTTTCACTTTTGTGTTGTTCTCCAATTCTCTTTAAAAACTTTGTATCATTTACTTCAATCATTTACAGATAGAGACAGGAGAGACAGAAAGAACTCTTCCATCCACTGAATCATTCCACAAATGGCTGCAGTGGCTGGAGCTCGGCTTGTCCAAAGCCAGGATCCTGGAGCATTTTCTCCCAATGGATGCAGGGGCATAAGGGACACCTTCTGCTGCTTTCCCAGGCACATTAGCAGGAGTTGGGTTGGAAGTGGAACACCCAGGACTTGAACCAGCATCCATACGGAATGTCAGCAGCACAGGTAGTGGCTTATCCTATACCTTAGTGCCAGCCCCTTATCTTCCAAATCCTTCCAATTCCTGAAGTGGAGATAAAATCTAAAAACCAGCCCCCTTAGCACACTGGCATATACACTCCATCTTCCTGAAGACCTGCTGGGCTCAAATGGGGCCACTCATCAAATGCCAAGCAGCCAGGGATGAGCAAGCATCTCCCCAGTCTGATCTGATCTGATGTGAGCAACAGAAAACATGTACCATGATTGGCCATGCCCATAGACACTACATCTTTCACCAGGTGGGTCTCGTGTACCACAACTGGCCGTGCCCATGAAAATGATGCCCATTGCCAGGTGGAATTCGTGTACTACAATTGGCCACACCCAAGGCTGTAACATCCCTCACCAGGTGGAATTGTACCAAGGGAAGAGAACCCAAAGGCTCTCCCAATTGCATTTTAACTCAAAGGTCTTGGAAGTACAAGAACTCAAAATTCCAACCTTCATTATGAAGATGCAGTTGTCGAGGTGGATGGACAGCACAAATTCTAGCTGCCTGTTGGCTTCATCTGTAAGCTTCAAGAACTGAGACAGATCTGGTGTGAGCCTCCATTAGTTCCCTTGTAAGGAAACTTGCAAAACTACAGGCAGCCTGGTAGTCAGAGTGTGGAGGTAGGGACACACTGCCTGGATTCAGAGCTCCACCATAAGCCACTCGCTCAGTGCTAATGTCTGCACTGGTAATATCAGAACAATAAGAGGACCCTCTTTGTGGGGTTGTTGGGAAGATGAAGGAAATGATACACCCACAGTGCCACAACAGCACCTGACACATAATTCACATCTCACAAATGTGGTCTATCATGCTATCTTCCAAAGTTGGCCTCCACAGACTTCTAGACAAGACCTCACTCAGCCAGGTGAGTTTGTGCCTTTCTTCTTCCCCATTCATTTCTCAATGCAAACACTTGCTTTTAGCCACTCCAAAAGGGAATAATTTTCCATTCTGAAAAGATCAAGTCATGGAATCACTGCCCTGCTCAGTACAGGTCCTTGTGAATTAAAAAAGTGTTTCACAACTACTCCAACTCAACAAGAAAGAATCGGGAAGACAAATCCAACAGGCAAGAAGACAGGATGGAAGCAGAACTCTATCAGCAGAGAAACAAAAGGGAAGGGATGTCCTTTCCTTGGTTCCCTACTAGTCCTTCCATTTCTCTAGTACTAAACAGAGGTCATCACACCAGCACAGTAATTACAAACTTGCAGCAAGGCACAGGGACTGAACAGACAACTTGAGAAGAAATACCTGCCATATGTTAATAGCAAGCAGGCAGCATACAGCATCTTGTGTGACTTTAACACAGTCTCTCTCTCAAACATATGGCTGTCTTTGCCTTGACTTGAAGGTCTATAACTGGAGAAGCCAAGTACATGGGAAAGATTCAAGGTCACATTCACCCTAATCCCTTGTGTTCAACATAGTGAACATTCAAACCTCCACCCCCTCCCCATTACTCTAAAGAATTCTTAGAAAATGTCATTTGCCACCTCACTAAGTGGGTACCATCATGTCCAGTTTCCCAAGCTACTTCTTATTGGTGTCCCATTAAATGAATAAGGCTGGTGTACTGTTGATTTCAACAATAGCTTTTCTATTAACTCAGATCTTCTCCAAACCCAAAATGGAGTATAAAGATCATCAAAAAATAAAGAAAAATTATGTGAAGTCTATAGAAGCAAGACAGAACACATCCATTCACCCAACAGTAATCCTGTCTAAATCAAATATAACTGAGTTCTCACAGAGTTTTGCCAACTTCCTATAAAAATCCCATGAACACTTCCTATTTTTCTGCCAGCTTTTACTTATGCAATTAAATTGGCTTTTTGTGAGAGCGAACTGGAGAAACACTCTTACAAGCTCATTAGTCATACAGCCAGGTTTCACTGTATCATAATCATTCATCAGTAGTCAGCAATGAGAATACATTTTCCCTTTGCAATGAGACCATTCAGCCAGATCCATATTCACAACAGGCTATAAAACGTGTGAAATACCCAACGCCTAGAACCAGGTTTAGGGAAAGCCAGTGCGTTCCTGTGGCTTTCATCTTGCTGAGCAGCCATCAGTAGCAGGAAAATAAACCTAGCTTTCACCAAAAAGCCACATCCTTCTTCATGAATCCCTCTTCTTGCTTCCAGCCTTTCTAAACTCCACCCCTTGAGAAGAGTGGAGCGTGCAGCTCAATTACAAGTGCTGTTATTAAAGACTCCCTTGGGAGACTGTTTCGCCTCATTTTCCCAGCATGTTTGTGGCAGCTTGTTCTTCACAGATCTCCCTCCACGGAATGTGTCCACGGCAGTCCGAGCTGCCTAGAACCCTGACCTGGAACTGTGGGCGGTCTGGTTGGCGCCGAGCACCGCCCGCAGGGCTGCCTGCCTCCCACCCAGGCACTCTGGGAGGAAGCCCAAGGCTCCTTTTGTGCCATCTACGTGGATAGCTGCGCTTGGAGAGAGAACTGATGTAACCAAGTCCGACATATCCAGCCTTGGAAATGCAGGGACGAGCGATGGGCACTGGAGTAGGGGCTGGCTGGAAAAGGGAAAATGGATCATCTCGTGATTTTGAAGTTGATTCTAGAAACGAAGGGATTCGTGAGATTCCCAGAACCTCTCCTTTCCACTGAGCCCCTTCCCTACTCCTTCTTTCCAAAACCCGGAGCCCTGCAGTAAGCGCTGTTCGCTGCCGTCTCCCGTCGGTGCCTGGGACACAACTGGACGGGGCCGCTGGGAAACCCACTTGGTCATAGCTGCCAGAAGCCGAGAAGTGACCGGGCGTTCCCAAACAAAGCCCTTCTCTGGACCAAACCAGCCCCCAGCCATTAAGGGGCTCCCAGTTCCCCTGCACCGGGGCAATTGAACCCAAGCAGCAGCGAGTCCAAGCCGCTACAACCGGTGTCACTGGGCACCACGGGGAGAAAGCACACGCCGCGCCTCACTCCAGGCGCTCGGTGCCCGAGGGAGTCAGAGCGGTGCGCACGCGGGGCGCGGGGTCCCGGTGGATTCTCGTACGGGCGCGGAGGGCGAGCGTAGTCCCGACCCTCCCGGCCCAGCGCCCAGGTACCTCGCAGCCGTACAGCTGACCTAGCTGCTCCACGATCCACTCCTCCAGCACCAGCCGCTTGCGAAGCTCCTTGCGGTCGTATTTCACTGTCACTTTTCCCTGCTGGTGCCGCCTCTGCTGCTGCTGCTGCTCCTTAATTTGCCCAGCAGCAGCGGCCGAGGCCAGGGGCGCCGAGTCCTCCCGGGAGGAGCCGGAGCCGCTGCTGGATCCCGGGCTGCCACCGGCGCCACCCCGGGGACTCTGGAAGAAAACCCGCGCGCCGCCGCCACTGCCGCCGCCGGCGCCGCCGGCCGGTTCGCTGCTGCCAGTCACCAGCGACATGGCCCCGCGCCGGAGCCCAGTGTGGCCCAGAAGCAGAGGGCAGAGCGCGCGGGCGCCTCTACCACCTCGGGCCGGGCAGCAGCATGCGGAGGGCTCAGCGGCACTTGCTCTGCGCGTCGCGCACGCCCGGCAGCCACGCTCCGCGGGGAGGGCGGCAGGGACCGCGAGGGCGGGAGCGGGGCGGGCCAGGAGGAGGGGCGGGGAGCGCTGGGCTTAAAGACACAGTCGGGGACCCTCGCCCTCCTGGCCCGGGAGGAGGGTTCCCGCGCCTGCTCCCGTGTGGGGATCGCCCGCGGTGGCCCGGCACGTAGAAACCGGTGTTAGCCTGTGTATTGCCCGGGAGGGCACTGGCCAGCTTCGAGTGCCCAGAGATGGTCCCCGGCGCTGGAGTCGGTGGCCTCGCCTCTTGGAGAAATGGGAATCGGCTTTGCCTGTGGCCACCTGAGCGCACGAAACGCACTGCTCCTGCCCGGATGCCTCTGGCGAGGGTCTGCGGGAGAAGGAGACCGGGGAGGAGCCGACGTGGCAGGTTGCTCGCCCCACCCGGGACTGGGGTTCCCGCCCCTCCCCAAGACTCCAAACAGAGACTCCCCTTGGCTCCGGGTGGGTGCCACTTGCGCTCTCGGATGGCGAGAAAAATTGGCTAGACGCTGTGTGCTGTCGGCATGCTCGAGAAATCATTGCAGACTGGAGTTTCTGCTCGCCGAGCCACGGAGCGTGGAGACACGCAGGAATCTTAAGACGGTTCTGCAGCCGAATAGCAGATGCCTGGGGGGTCGCGCGGCGCTGGGGCTGAGAGGACAACGAGATAGTCTACATTTCTATGAAGGGGTGGGGTCGGTGCCGCGGGGCGGCCTCCTGTCTCCGGACCTGTACGCTCTGACTGCCAGCTTTCCTCTGGCAACAACATTTCTAAACGGCCTCTTAATCCCTCCCGGGAAAGCCGCGCTTTAGCGGACTCCTTTAAACATCAGCCACCGAGGAGTTACAAATGAATGAGCTGATTATAAGATGTAGGGCAAAGAGGTGGAAGGGGACTGTGTGGGGGTGGATGTGTGTGTGTGTGTGTGTGTGTGTGTGTGTGTGTGTGTGTGTGTGTGTGTGTGTGTGTATGCACACTCAATCCCAGGGAGACACACATTTCCATTCTCCGTAACAATATGTTGTTGTTCAGGCACCTGAAATAAGCTACAAAAAGGTTCAGATACAGGTGAGCAATTTTATGAACATTCAAAAATCTGGCAGCTACTCAGGTTTCCCAGCAGTGAGTGGAATTCCAGATTGACAACTACAATGGGGAAATGAAAGATGTAACCAACAGTCTCCTCTGGGGAACTTCAACTGGTTCCCCGGGGTTCCTTCACCCAGGTTTGGAGTTTTCCAGCCAGATCCTAAGTAGGGATTTTCCCACAGTGGCCCGATGCCCAACGCTCTTCCCAAAGACAAGCCAGGCCAGGAAGAGCCGGCTGGAAGGATGGAGGGAGGACTTCAGGAAGTAAGGTGGTTGATGCTGCCCGCTGACCACTGCGATAATGAGAAAGGGGTGGCGTTGGGTGAGGCCAGCTGTCCTTCAGAAGACAAATGACTGTGATGGGCCTCTAGGAACAGGTGACCGTTCTCCACAGCTGCCTCACCCCATCTGCCCTGTAAGGTAGGTCAGCTTCAAGCCTGAACCTTGGGCCAAGAGGGTGAGTGTCTCAACAGGATGGAGCTCAGTCTGCAGGGGGAAGAGGTGAGAGGGTCCCTGTACACAGCACAGGGAGTAGGCTTGTGTCTCCCCAGCTGCGGTTCCTGGAGGTTGGCTAGCATCAGCTACACAACTGCATTTGCTGGGAGAGCTTCAGTCAAAAACAGCTAACATTTTAGCAATGAGGGACAAACCAGATCAAATCTTGGCCTCCTGGCTCTGGGAGCGGCGATAGGACTGTTCTGAAACATTGTGTGATCCTGCAGTATGGCAAAGAGTGGGATATTCCAACTCAGTTGCTTTTGAGTTTGGACAATGAATTCAGTCATCCAAGAATAACTTCAAAGAAGTAATGAAAATTCACAAAGTTCCTTCAGAGAAATTCTTGTGTTAATTTTGTCCTTGCTGCAGAGGATTTTTTTTTCCTTTGTACTTTTTTTTTTTTTTGTACTCAGCTTTTACTTCCAACTTCAGAAATGCCAGCTTTAAAAGATGCTGCATCCGACTTGCAGAAAACAGCTGGTGAGTAACTTAGTCTCCTTCTAGGAGTAGATTAACCTTCAGAGGCCCGAAGAGGTCACCTTGACGTGCAAGTAGGATTGAAAGGGCCTGAAAGTTCCTCTATGCATCCCCTCCCCAGCACGCGCACACACACACACACTCACACACACTTCATTCCATGTCTGAATAATTAAAACTTAATGTCCAGGACTGGTGCAGTGGCCTAGCGGCCTAGTGACAAGGGTGCTGACCTTGCATGCATGGGGATGCCATGTAGGCACCACTTCTAATCCCAGCTGGTCCACTTCTCATCCAGCTCCCTGCCTGTGGCCCGCGTGGGAGACCTGGGAGAGTCTCTTGGTGCCTGGCTTCAGATCAGCTCAGCTGCAGCCATTGTGGCTGCTTGGGGGTGAACTGGTGGAGAGGAGATCTTTCTCTCTGTGTCTCCTTCTTTGTCTATATCTGCCTCTCCAATAGAAAAGAATAAATCTTAAAACAAAACCTCAATGTTCAAATCTTGACAGACAGTAGAAAAACTGTTGCTGCAAATTTCCAAACTTGAAGACTTTAATTTAGGAATTCACTTAGCCAAAGCGAATATACAAACTCAGGAAAACTAACCAAGGTTAGTTCTCTTTTACCAGATCAATACACATGTTTGTTCAAAGCAGATGTTTTTATTTTCAACCTGTTAGGCAAGTTTTTAAAAAATGATGCTGACTCAAAAACAGTGAACAGCTCTGAGTGGGTTGAAGATAGTCTGGGGACTTTTCTAGAATGCCAAACAAGAGGTGTAACCTTAAGGCTGCTCCTTCCTGCTGTGAGAGCAGCCAAGAAAGTTTCCTTGACACTTTTTTTTTTGTCACAGATTTGTGTTTTCTTAACAGGTTTGTGTTTTCTTAACTAGGCATTTTTCACCTGCTCCCAGCTTGGGGAAAGAATTTACTTTTTAGGATTTATATAGACCCTTTGTCCTGAATCCCATCACTATACCCAGAGATTGTCAGATAAGATGGCTGACTCACTTAGTCCCAGGGCCTCCTTCACCACTGCCCCCTCCCTAAACAATTAACTAATGCATAAATCCTTTTGCGTAAATGCAAATTTTCTTACTCATTAATGACTAGATGTCTATCATTATGCAACACCTGGTAAGCTGCCTTTATAACTACAACCTCTGGCCACAAACCTGACTTTCATATTCTTACTTAGAGTCCTATGTGTCAAGATCTAAATGCTGTCAATGATTTGATAAACCAAACAAACAAATACAAAGTAATTTCAAATCTAGTTTTCAGCACAAAGAAATAGGACCTGTCCTTTGGGATTCTACCAACTACCCACACCGTTTCCAGCGTTCAGAATACAGATCGTTATCTCTGTGCTTTGTAGAAGAGTTCAGCAGAACAGCCTACAGTGGCTTAGTACAGTTTTTCCCCTTCTAATTCTCGGTTGTTTTTCCCATCCATTGGTCCATCCCCCCAAATGTGCAGGTTAAATAAATTCTTTATTCTGAATTTTGATTTTTATTGGACCAGGCTTTACCATTTAGAATCATAGCTGCACAAGATACCTCATCTCTGCTTGCATTAACACCCAGAGCAGCAACACATTGCCACAAGTCTCTGTAATTACCAGAATTTCTTATCTAACTGTTCAGACAGGATGCAAGATAAAAAGAAAAAATCCATAACTTTATCATGGCTTTTAATAAATACTAAATATCCCTGCTTCTTCCAGTAAACCCAACTTGTATTTTGTCTTTTTCTGTAAAATTAGGTTCAACTTGGTTTCTCAAAGAAGCTACTCCTGTTCTAGTCCATGACCTCTCAGCCTCCATTTGGCTGCCAAGCCTCCGTCCACTTTGCTGTCTCTTTTGCTCATCACTCAGCCCTCAGCAGGCTGGTCATCACTCCTTGACCTCATCCTGTTTCTTAAGGTCCTGCAGGCATTTCAGCTTCTATCTAACTTGACCTTCTGCTACATTCGATGATTCTTTTAAGGTTTTATTTTATTATCTATTTTTTAATGATACAGTTCCATAGGCTCTGGGATTTCCTTTCCACCATCCCCAAGTCCCCTCCTCCCCACTGATTCCCTGCATATTATTACAGTAGTATAGTCCTTCATAAACAGTCCTAAGTCAGTCATTCTGCTCTTTTAAGTTTATCCTGACATTGTACATATGGACAATGGTAGACAGTCCATCCCCCATTTTCAAGATATACTTAATAATTTCATTGTGAGTTCATCTTTGATTTGGAAGTAGAGATGCATACTGCATTGTATCCTCACATCTGGATATGATAGTTCCTATTACATAGTTACTATACATTCCCCTGAATGCAAAGCCATAAAACAAAATTTTAAAAAGGGATAAAAATACGAAAATTACAACAACATGAATTTAAATGACATGCTACTGAATGACCAATGCGTCACTGAAGAAATGAAAAAGAAAAGCCTTCTTAAAATGCTGCTGTTGTATAACCCATGAGTCAGTGAAGAAATAAAAAAAAAAATTGAGGAAAATAAAAACAAAAATATCAAACCCATGCGGTTTTGGCAAAGAGCATGATTTTAAACTTTTGCCAGCTTTGCAAACTTCTCTCTTGACTCCCAGTGCTGACACCCTCCCAACTTTCCTCCCACTTATTTATCTGTTGCACTGCAGTGGGTTTTGTGAATTGCTTTTTCCAGATCCCTGCCTCTAGGTAGGAAGCTCCCACACCTACTCACAGCGCTGTTGTTTCTGTCGGCCTGAATAGCATACGCGTGCACACATATACAAACGTACATATTCTGCAAGATG